CGATTATTTTTCCACAGATCAAAGTGTAAAACAGTGAAAATCCTTAAACAGAAACGGTCACTCGTCAAAATTGCACAAAACGCATGACTTTACCGGCTACCCTAGTGCGCGCTGCTATTTACTCACATTATTTTCCGCGGAACTGTTAATGTGAGCAGTTATAATAATGATGGCTGTTGCTGAAAAAATGGGTAAACGCATCAGACTCAAAAATGTGATCTTTGTTTTACTTCACGACTGTCATATAAAAGCTGAACAAAAGATTAGCAGCCTGGTTGCTTTGGTTGTGGAGTTACGTCAAATTTCATAGGTTCATGCGTGATGGGAAAACGTGAGTGTGTTTTCACGTGTATGCGCCCTAAAATAGTTGTCGGACATGCTCAAAAAATTTCAGCGCTTTAGCCGTTTTGACTGCGGGATCATGTCAAATTTAACATGGTCGTATGTGAGACGTAAAAGAAACGTCAAAATTGTTTTCATGTGTATCTGCCCAAATGCGGCCGTCGGCTACACTCAGATTACAGCTCTCACCATCTTTCTAAGCAATCTAAATTTCGTCTTGGCACGATGTCAAAAAACTTGAACTCCAACGTGCTCCCATGTGAGACCTAAGGGCGCGTGGAGGCTGAATTTAAATTCTTTGACTTAGGCGTGGGCAAGGAAGTTTTTCATGAAGTTCCACTCTTCTAGCTTGCCTGGCTCTCGAAATTGCTTTCCTGCCAAAAAATTTTTCACCTGTCCGTATGTGAGAGAGAGGAGAAATTGAACGTCCATTGGTAAGTCTAGAAAATGAAAAACCCGGACAGATGTTATACATACAGGAACATAAACACTGACAGGGGCGTGACAACATATGTTTCCTGCAGCTGTTACACAACACAAAAGGCGTAGTAAAAGATCTTATCCACTAAAAGCTCAAAAAAATTCCCTGCCGTGGAGGAAGTTACCGATCAGAGTATGGATCTGATACTGCAGTCAGCCATTCTCCTCTTACACTCAGCCCTCCCTCCGTGCCGTACTTCAGCACTCAGAAGACAC